TGCGATTTCCTCTCCACCCTCCTGCTGGCCTCTGACCAGGCCTCCTCATTCCCTCTCTGCACACCACCTGTGCCAGAACATACTATGTCTCACAGACAGCTGCACCTCAACACTTGATCCTATAAGCACAAAACTCTATTTCTGTGTCTTCTAACTCCTTACAATGGAAAACAGTCTAAGTGTACCCGCAATGCACAAGCATATTTGTACATCAATTATGTAATGACTAGTGAAATTATGTAATGACTCGCGAAATCATGCGAGACCCAGTCCCCCCCATCCTCGACATGGTACTGCCCTGAGTGCTGGAGTGCCGCCCCAATGCCCTGCCACCAGGCCACATGGAGCAGCCGCCAGGTCCTGCCTCCACAGTGCGCATGCGGGGATGTGGAAACCCTGGCAGAAGCCACAAGAAGTGGATGCTTGGAACCCCTGTGCTCCCATGGGGTTGCAGGAACCCTGGTGGAGGCTACACAGAGCAGCCATTGGCCTCATCCCTGCTGCCCTGCCCCCACTGTGTGTGCTGCCATTTTGTGGCAGTGTTGCAGTGTGAGGGTCAATTTGAATATTACCCCTTTATTATATAAGATTAGTAGCCCTGCATATGAATCCGTGTGCCAGTAGCTCTCTGCGGAGCCTGGCTGCTCCGCACCCACTGCCCGGAGGCTCTCTGCTGCCCGGAGGCCCATCTGCAGCAGGGCGCAGAACACTTACCTCTTCGCCGGAGCGATGACGCGAGCATTCTGTGTCCCAGCCTGGCCAGAGGAGACTAAGCAAGCATTCCACCAGGCCACTATGACATAAACATTTCACCAGGCTGATCACGCTGCCTACTCTCAGTGTCCGCCCCCCACCCACCACCCTGGGACTGGGGGACTCTGGTGGGGCTAAGAGGACTGAGTGCCACCATCTTTGTGATGGAGTGACAGTTAATTTGCATATTACCCTTTTGTTATATAGGACTATTAGCCCATATGCTAAGCACCAGTAAAGCTGCACTTCAGATCACTAGCACAGCCACCTTTTCTCCAAAGGGTGAGGTAATCAAAGATTTTGTGGAAAAGACAGGGCTAGACTGGGCTGGACCCCACCCCTTTGTCATGGGGGAGGAAGGGCCCCTCTCCGAAAGATGCACCCAAGTTCTCTGAGGGCAGTTCTGGGAAGCAGGGTGCAGGCTCGCTGTGTGCTGCTGCAAATTCTTCAACTGACACATCAAAACATGACAAAACATCTCAAGCTGCTTCATTTCCCTAGTTCTTCCATTGAAGACAATCTCATCTGTGGGGAATTTCCCCACCAACTGTTATTTGATGGATTTAGCAGCCAGTGAGGATCCTGCCTGGCTCCATTATCTCATTAGCAGCTACACAGTGCTGAGTTTCCAATTCCTGGCTAGTACTTTTGCATTTATTAGCTGAGATTTCTCCATGATTAACAACTTTCTCTCATCAACTATCTGATTGTTTTTAAATACAGTTTGTCTTAGAAAATCAGGATCAAAGTGGAATTCTTTCCCTGTATTGTTCAGGGTGATGAAGATGTATCCTAGCAACTTGCAAAGGTGATGATTGATTTTGAGGGTTTTTCTCACTTGAAGTATCATGGGACTCCTGGATTATTTGTCATTGTTCTGATTTCAATACACTGCAGTGATTATTCATTTTGATGCTCTGATACCTTATCACCGGCTCCTATGTCCTCCAACCCTACCCCTGCTTGGCCTCAGCTCCCAGGATGTCCCATCCTGCACTTTACCTGCCCTAGTCTGGGAACCAACTACTTATCTAAGCAGGGGTTCCTTTTAGTTGGAAAGTGTTTAGGGAATCCCAGTCTGAGTGTTAGTGAGTCATCTTTACTTTTGAGCCTTTCAAAAAACAGAGCTGGGAAATATGGTCTTTTAAAAGAGAAAAAGTTCACATTGATATTTCTTATTCAAGTTGAATATTATACACTCTTTAGTTAAATTCCTTAAATACATCCCCTTATATTCTGAAATTTTGCCTCCTACAGTATACCCAGATTATTTTCAAGTAACAATATAAACGTTTCCCATTATAAATGTACAGTCCAAAGATGGTTTTGAAGTCACTTGAAATGAGTATTTTCTCTGCGTGAGAGATTGACAGCACCTGATATATCACTAGGTTTATTTTTTTCAACCTGTTTCAGTTATTAGTTATTTAATATATAATATAATAACTAATTTAGTTATTTCCTCTTTGATTTTTCTTTTTAGGTTATACAAAACAGTAATAGTTCTAAAGTGTAAATAATGTAGAGACCCTACACACCCCTCTCCAGTGATAGTCGTTTGTATTAGCTTATTTATTTTTCCTTTATTTCTTTTGAAAATACAAGCAAATTTATATACACTAATGTACTATTTACATATCTTTCCTCTATACCCATCTTATATACAAGGGAGTAGCTCTACATATAGCCCTGCACTTAGGTTTTTATCACTGAACTATAGAGGCCCTTGGCTCCGGCCCCCGCCCACTGCAGCAGCTGCTACCAGGGGCTCTGCTGTGGCCCCCGCCCGCTACTGCTGCTACCATGGCCAGGGGCCTCTGCCACCACTGCCATGGCCCCTGCCCCACCACAGCTTTCTCTGGAAGGAAGAACATCCGGAATGATGTCTGGTCTAATTAGCATATTATGCTTTTACTAGAGACCCAGCACATGATTAAATCATGCAGATAGGGTCCCTAGGCCTACCCTCCTGCGATCAGGGCCATCTTCTGCCCGTTTGCCAGTCCCTAGGCCGAACGCCGCCTCCACCACCAGGCTATCAGGCCGTTGTGATCACTAGCTCATCCCCACCTGCTCCAGGCTCAGGCCTGCGGGAAAGCAGGTACTGGAGACTTTACCTCCATGCGTGTGTGCTGGGCCAGCCGCTGATGGAACATGCTGCCTGCTCAGGGACACTCCCGCGGGTGCTGCTGCCACTGCCATTGCCGCTGCCGCTGGGGGTTGAGGCACTGATGGAGGCTGCGGGGCACCCCTGTGGTCTACCCATTCGGCCATGAGTGGCTCTGAGTGGACAGCGCATTCCATCAGTGGCAGGTCTGGCGCGCGCGCGCGCACACACACACACACACACACACACACACACACACACACGGAGGTGAAATTGCCGGTACCCGCTTTCCTGCAGGCCTGAGCCCCTAAGCAGCCAGGGATGAGCTGGTGATCTCAATGGCCTAACAACCAGCCTTGTCCTCCCGTATTCCCCCCTAAGGAAAGATGTACTGGCAGTTCTGTGAGGTGGTGACATCTCCCCCTCAGCATGAGCGTGGGAGCAGGCTGCTGTCCCTAGGCCTCACCAATAGAATGGCTGGGCTAGCAAACTTTTGAACATTAGCCAATCTGATATGTGGGACATGGTGTCTTGGTGCAGTGTGAAAACACATTTCTCTATTGTGAATTAAGTTAACGTGTTTTCATATATTTAAGGTATAGCTTTTGCACGTTTTTTATACTGGATTGTAGAATTTTTTACTCATTATTTTTAGAAATTCTTTATATATTAGGGACACTAACCCTCTGCTAAATTTGCTTATGGTGTTATTGTTTTTGACGTATACATTCTTTTTTTTTTAAGGGCTGTCTAATGGACCAGTTTTCTCCTTGATTCTTGCTGAATGAGAGTCAGTTAGGACACACCTACTTCCCAGGGGAACTGAATTAATTTGTCTTCATCTCTAGTTACACTGTAAGCAGTGAATTTCTTTCAATTCAACCAACACTGTGGAAATCCTCCACTTATGTACAACAAAATGTGTTTTTCAGGACTCTGAATTCCAAGATTCTATAAGAGAACTTTATAATACTTCCTGAAAAAACTTATTTCCACTCCCTGGCATTAGAAAAACTCCATCTGGTGGAGGGCATACATATCAATTCTGGCTACTTTAGACATAGCTAACATTTTTCCATTTTGCATAACCTACAGGTTACTTCTTAGGTTATTTTGTATGACCTCATCCCAGCTCCTCAAAGTTACACGTGCTTTGTACCATGAACTGATTACTCACGTGACCTTTTGTTTACGGAACTGAATCTCATCACCACAATCTACTGACTCAGAAAACAAACCTGCTCTTTACATAAACACTATCAAATCTGGCTTCACAGCATTCAGTTAATTTTAAATGAAATGAGGTAAACTGATCATAGTAGTAAGAAAATGGGAAGAAAAACAATACAGAAACTGGCCCACAGCGAGGGCCAGTTAGTACAGCATCTCTCAGTATGTCCAGTACATCTCCTTCTAAAACTACCACTACTCTTGGCAACAATAACACCACATGAACAAAAGAAGTGAGATTTCCTTCTGGGTCCGTGTTTAAGAAGTCGGTAAAGTATAAAACAGTTTTAAAAAGTTCCATTTAGGCCATGACCAGGTGGCTTAGTTGGTTTGGGGGTGATCCTAATACACCAAGGTTTCAAGTCTGATCCCTGGTAGGAGCACATACAAGAACCAACCACTGAATACATCAATAAGTAAACAACAATCAATGTTTCTCTCTCTCCCTTCCTCTCTCTGTCTCTAAAGAGTAAAAGTAAAATAAAAGTTCCATTTTAAAAAGGCTAACAGTTTTCTTTGCAAAATTTGATGCTTAAGAAATTATGGTTTACTGATTTGGAAAATGTATTCATACAGAAGACCCCATTCCTTGTCTCTAACTAAGTGGACCCTACACAGCCCCTTGGGGCAGGGAACAGGTATAGTGTCTGCCAACCCAAAGTGGACCCAAAGCCCTTTCCCTCCAGTTTCTCGTGATACGTCCTGGGGAAACATTTTTCTCCAGAACACTTCTAAATGCTCACATCATGGCCTTTTGGTAGTAATTGAGAAAAATTCCATTATTTTCCAGGCACATATTTACACAGCACAGGGCACTGGGATTCATAGCCTCTAATACATGCCATGGACTTTCTTTCCCCTTAGTCTGTGGCAGCATTCTAAAAAGCAGTTGCGAGATAGGAATACTTACGGAACATGGTGTAAAACTGCTGCGGGTTCAGATTCCACTTTCCCCAGGGGGTCTTATGGCCTTTGGACTGGGCATAGCTGGCATGGTTAAACTCCGGCTCGGTGCCGAAAGAGTCCAGGACGCGCAGCATGCACCTGTAAGAAAAAGTGCTGTGGGTAAAACTGCAACCTTGACCCAAAGTTCTGGAAATAAAAGCTCCAACCCCTCTTTCAGGCACTGCCAAAAAGGGACAGATACTTAAAAAAAATAAATAAATAAATAAACAAATAAATATATATATATATATATTTTTTATTTTTTATTTTTATATATATATATTATTTATTTATTTATTTATTTATTTTATTTATTTATTTTGGTTTCAGAAAGAAAGGGGGGGAAGGGAAGGAGGGAGGGAGGAAGGGAGGAAGGGAGAGAGAGAGAGAGAGAGAAAGAGAGAGAAAGAGAAAGAGAGACATCAATGGTGAGAGAGAATCATAGATCAGCTGCCTCCTGCACGCCCCCCATTGGGGATCGAGCCTGCATGCAACCCGGGCATGTGCCCTTGACCGGAATCGAACCTGGGACCCTTCAGTTCTCAGGCTGATGCTTTATTCACTGAGCCAAACCAACCAGGGCAGATACTTTAAATGAGAAATGCCACTGGACAGGCACTGAGAGGTTTTAGAATAGCTGTGTAACCGAGCATCTTCATATGTGATTCAAATCATCATGCAGCAGACACAATGTGCTTCAGAGCACAACTCAAATACCAATGAAATAAAGTTCTCCAAAGCCCCTTGGCTGGCAGCTCAGCTGGTGGGAGCATCATCCCATTCACCAAAGCAGTGTGGATTCCATCCCTGGTCAGGGTTCATACAGGAAGCAACTAATTCACGTTTCTCTCTCACATTAGTGTTTTTATTTCTCTCTATTAAATCAATCCACAGATCCTCCTTAGGTGAGGAAAAAAACAAAAAAAAGAGAGAGAGAAGTAAATGTTCTCTAAAGCTGAACTGCAGAGTGCATGCTCTCTGCTGTGCCCCAGCAGGCCGAGCAGACAGTGGTGCCTAAAGACACTTATTGAAAAAATAAAGAACTGCCATTTTTAGAGGTCACTATGTATAGTTTGTGTCCCCCAAAATTTATGTGTTGAAATCCTAACCCCCAAAGATGATGATATTAGTAGATGGGGCTGTTGGGAGATGGTTAGGTCATGAGGGTGGAGCCCTCATGAGTAGGATTAGTGGCCTTATAAAGGAAACTCTGCATTGCTTGCTCCCTAGCCCCCTCTATCCTGTGAGAATTCAAGAAGTCTGAGACCTGAAAGACAGCCCTCACTTGGCCAAGCTCAAACCTTTTCTTGGGCTACCAGTTTCCAGAATGTGAGCAATGAAGAATGCTGTGCATGAGCCCTCAGCCTGTGATATTATCTTATAGCAGCTGAACAGATGAAGATGAAGGTCTTATTCTGCTCAAAGCACATGGCATGCCTTATCTCTTTCAACATTTTCACCAGTTACCGGTAATTAAAGTATGTGATTTTAGGTAAAGCTTAAAATTTTGCTCAAAAGGCAATGGTGATTTTCATGATTCTGATAGTAAGACAATACAACTACTTCCACTCAGAGTCTGAAGAAGTGAAACTGAAGATGTTTCATTTGACTGTTCCACCAAAGCCTTACAACAGGATTGGCCAAATCCCATCTACAGCCTGTTTCAGCATAGCCTTCAAGTTATGAATGATCTTTACATCTTTAGTTAAACAATAAAAAGAATATTTTGTGACATGTGAAAATAGTATGAAATTCAATTTTTAGCATTTAAAAATAAAGCTTTCTTTTAATATAGCTACACCCAGGTGTTTGTTTATTATTTGTGGCTGCTTTTACACAATAATACCGTTTCCCCAGAAATAAGACAGTGTCTTATATTAATTTTTTCTCCCAAAGTCGCGCTAGGTCTTATTTTCAGGGGATGTCTTACCTTTCCATGCGCTAGGTCTTATTTTCGGAGGATGTCTTATTTTCAGGGAAATACAGTAGTGGAGTGAGGAGGGTTAGAGACCGTCCATCCAGAAAAGACTAAAATATTTACTAGCAGGCTCCTTACAAGAAAAGCCTGCTGACTTCTGCTATGGGGTGCACACAGAATGACCAATCAGAAGAAAGGAATCAATACTGAAACAGAATGTATTGATTTTGGTTACATTTACTTCATTACTAATTCTCAGAACATTGATGTAAATTTAGCTCATAAATGGCCAATAAAATAACAATATATTCTGTTGTTATGTATCAATACTGCTTCTAACTAGCTCTTATTGAATTAATAAGCATGAAAGTAAATAAAGATTAAACCCCACATTTTAGAATTAAAGGATGGCAATGATTTTTAAGTATTTGATTCAGTTTCTTTCTTCTCTTTTCCACTTTCAGAAATTTCATTATTCTAAGTTGTTGTTTTTTTTTTTAATCCTCACTTAAGGATATGTTTATTGATTTTAGAGAAAGGGAGGGAGGGATTAAAGCAGGAAGGAGAGAGGGAGAGAGGGAGAGAGGGAGAGAGGGGGAGAGGGGGAGAGGGAGAGGGGGACAGGAGGGGAGGGGGAGGGGAGGGGGAGGGGGAGGGGGAGGGGAGAGGGAGAGGGAGGGGGAGAGGGAGAGAAACATCTATGTGTGAGAGAAATATTGATTGGTTACCTCCTATATGTGCCCCGATCAAGGATCCAACCTGCAACCTAGGTATGTACCCTGACCAGGAATTGACCTTTTAGTGCATGGGATGACACTTCAACAAACAGCCACCCAGCCAGCCAAGGCCCAACTTTTCATTTTCACATAAATGTATGATTCAGACAAAAAAAAAAAGTGCAAATATCAGATTGGTTGTTCCAGGAAGAGCAACAGTAAATTGCCATTTTGGTGGGATGATGTTCTCATCAGAGATCAGCATCACCAGTCTAGACAAGGAGGAAAAGAAAAGGCAGGTGGAAGAGGGCGGGCTGTGACCAGGTGGGAAATACAGGTTGACCACAGAAAGCACCTCCTTGCCTAGATTCCCTGTTACTCAAGGAACAGGCCATCATCACAGTGACCACTGCCACAATAGGAACAAGAACGTGTTATCAACCTGGCAGCCAAGAGGCAGAGAGAAATGGATGTCCGCACTCCAGGAAAAAGGTAGGGATGTAAGGAACTGATCCATGCCTATTTTTCTTGCTCTCTGAACAGCTCTCTTCTTGATAAAACATTCCCAAGTCTTAACTTACACTCTTCCTTTTAAAATAAAAATGCAAAAGGCACTTATTGGAGCCAGTATGTTTTCTTCTGAGGAAAAGGGCAGTGTTGGAACAGATGGATGGTGTGGCAACTCTGGGGAGGTCACTGCCAGAGAGGGAGGGACACACACCGCTGGGCGCGATAGGGCGGTTAGAAGGCCCACTGCCCAGGCACAGAGTTAGGATGCAAGGACCACAGCACTCTGTGCCTGCAGCCCAGGGACAAACAGACACTCGGTCCTAAGGCTCCTATGCCTTGAAGCTTTGGCTGCTTCCGCTTATTTGAAATTGACTCAAACGGTCTATATTCCTCTCTGGATTTGGCTTGTCATTTTATTTTTAACTTGGAGTTTTACTGGTGTTATTTTCCAAATGGATAATTAAAATAAACTCTGAGTCAAGATAGCTAGCAGACATCTGATTCATGGAAGCCTGGATGTCAGAAAGTGCCTCGTGCTCACTTCGGCAGCACATATACAGAAATTGGAGCAATACAGAGATTAGCATAGCCCTGCGCAAGGGTGACACACAAATTCATGAAGCGTTCCACATTAAAAAAAGAAGAAAGTAAGTGCCTAGAATGTTCACTTCTGAAACTGGCTTCTTCCCCATGGAAGGCTATAGGATGGATGATCTCATGTCTCGGGTACTTGTAATTCTACATCCTCATACTTGAAGCTTTGATTTAGAAAATGTCTATTGTTTTTAGCTATTTGCATTTGTTTTATAACCAGAGACAGGAGACTTATCTCTGTCTGTGACAGAGGAGGCTAACATATAGCTTTCTTTATCAATCACCTTCTGCATCTGTGTTGGAATTCTGTTTGAGTTAATATTGACACCCTTCCTCTAATGCCTTCTGTGTGTTTGTAGCATCAGAAACAGGCTAATGGCTTCAAAAGATATTAGCCTCGCTGCCGAGCAGCTGGCCTCCTGGAGCAGGGATTCCTGCAGCCATGCCAAATGCTCTTGGAATACTCTCTCTGCTCTAAGCCATGCTATTATGGGATGGATGCTCATAACCTTCTTGCCAGGACCTACTTTCTAATGTGGAGCTCGATGAAAAATGTGATATAAATTAGACTATTTGAATCTCGCTGTCTGGTGTGTTCTCACGGCTGTGAAGGAAGACTGTTTTAGATTTGATCTGTATGAGTTTTGCAATACCCAGCAGTGTACTAGTTGCATATAGAAAATATTTAACTGAGTTTCCTGGGTTCTTACATGAATTTAACAGAATTTTCAAAGATCAATATTTCCCAAGATTAATACAACTCAAGGGTTTGCCCCTAAATGAAAAATCAGAAGATAACTGTACACTGAGTAGAATTCATATCATCTACCATCAACCAAGATGCATACAGATAGCCCTGACAATTTCTGATCTTCACAAGGGGAAGAAATGGGCGAGAAACTCTTTAGAGGACCTGCTCGTCCTCTGATGAAACCTGAGCGCCATCACACCAGAGAGCAGGGCTGATGACTAAGCGACATCCCGCCAACAGCGCTAACGTGGGAGATTTACTAAAGGATGGACAGACATTACCCTCTCTCATAAACCCCCTACCATGCGTCTTGTCATCCAACAAGAACCAAATACCAATCAATGGTGACCTTTTTAATAATGGAATTATCCTTTTTAATTGAACTTAATACTACCACTGAGAATATTTTCCCATCCAAACAGCCCTTCTTAATGGTGAGGATGTGTGAGGCCAGGGAAGCCTGGAATGCCCACTCTAGTGGCACTTTATCAGGTGCCTGCCATTTGCAAAATGCCAGAGCACAATAGCATTGCCTTCTTTCTTTTATTTTTAATGTTGTAGCTAAAAAGAAAAAAAAGTGTGTTTACTTATATGGCTCATTAACCAAGAAAAGAGATGGTTATTTTCATGTAACAGAGGACAAATGTGATAGCCTGGGACTCATGAAGATTTCAAGAAAATGGCAAACCCCAAACCAGGAAAAACCTGATACAAAAATAGAGTGCTACCAGGCCCAAATCAAATTTTTATTTGGCTATTTTATGAGTCTACATCCAAAGGCAATGAGAGCACAGGGTCTCTCTCAATCAATCCCTAGCCTCTGCCCATAAGCATGTCACTGCCCAGAGAGAAAATCATTGCTATTGAAAGGAAACTGCACGGCAGCGGTGTCCTCCCCTCTGTTCCTGAGAAGAATCTTAATATTTTAAATTTTCATTTCTTTCAATCCTAAAGGACTTCCAGTCTGACATAACCTTGGAGATGAAAGTTAATAATATTAACTATAAACCAACCTGAATTAAAAAGTGATTGATTGGTTACGTTTAAAGAGCACACGAAAACATCTCTTTATGGAATATCAACAGAAAAGAAACACATGGTGGGGGGGCAGGGGTTCCAAGTTTTTTTTTTTTTTTTAAAGTAGTGTTGGAGAAATAGTAGCACCAAACTAAGCCTTTTTCAGAAAGATTGAAAAAAAAACTGAAAAATTAATAAACTTCATTGTCTAATCCAATGTCATCTAGATTATGGTGTGTATCATGTAAAAGTGTTTCAAATATTAACTCGTGGCCCCAGCCAGTGGTCCGAGAGGTCCGAAAGGTTGGGGATCACTGTCCTAGATGATAAAGACTGCACAGAGCAGCACACACACACACTTGAGGCATCCCAACCACTAGGCGGATCTTATAAAGTGCAAGACCCTGGCATTCAGGCGAGGTATTCCCCAGCTTTCTCTTCCAAGAATGACAAGAATACTGATTGGGGAAAAGCAGAGAGAATGGGTCATTATCTTAAACCTAAGAAACACAAGTAATGACCCTGTCTTAATTTTATGGAAATCGCTTTGTGATTAAACAGCTAAGATTGTTGTGGGCATACTGAGAGAAGAATGCTAAGTATTAGGGATGGCAAAAATGAGATTGGATACTTGTTTTCTATTCTTAAAGTAAATCAATGAAAATAATGAATAGCCCTTGAAAGTAAGAAGTCACTGTGGAGAATCTGAACTTCAATTAGGACTGGGAAACATTCTCTACAGGTTCAAAAGATACTTTAATGCGTTTCTACCTATAACCATTCAACCCTTGTTTAAAAATAAATAACAAAGCTCTGCAAACCTAAGAACAGCGTGTGGCACTTACTGGTAATGAACCCAGGATGGTCCAAGAGTTTTCTTGAATTGAGCGAGTCCTACAATATCAATATAAATGAGCTCAACGATTCTGTCTCCTACAGTGGGGCAGCCAGATCGGTTTCCTACGACCTTTTTCATTATTCTAGAGAAAGGGCAGAGAGAGAAAAAAAGAAAAACAATTTACTTCAAGGCATAATACTTAACTTTAATAGGCAAATGAACATCCAAGAATCCTTACCCGGAGAATGGCATGGCCCCTCCCCATCCACTGCTCATCCGAATTCTGCCCACCCCCAGGACCCATCCAGTGCCCAGGCATCAACTCTTGTAAAAAGCAAATGGTGCCCAGACACAACCTTACAAGCCCAGGAAAATACAGGTCTGAGTTTGTCTTCCCCATCCAGCAGCTGGGAGATCTTAGACCAGTTACTTAACCTCAGAATCTTTCCTTATTCTCAAACAAGCAAACCAAACCACCACAAAACCAGACTGTATAGCGACCTTTCAGGTTTTTTGGTGGTTAAATGAAATACTGAATGGAAAGTGCCCAATGTATGCTACATACTCAGTGACTGTTAGTTTCTTACTAATCCAGCCCTGACTTATTTTTGAGAAAAACGTCTTTCTATAGTGTCTTGTACTGCTTCCAATTTTTTTCTCTTATGTGAAAATGAACCTTCTGACTAGATTGGCACAAAGATTTACAATTCTACATTACCCTTTGCCCACCCACCCATCCACCCAAACTCCTACTTGTACTTGGCGAGCCAATGTGCTTGTCACCTTTCACTTGGAAATGGGTTAATATTGAAACCTTTGATCCCTGCTACACCCACAATGATCCTTCATCAAATTATGGCTGGATGTCTACTTCCAAGGACAGGAGCCTAAAAAGGACTCTGCACTCTAGCTCTAAACTGCCACTGTCTCCATTCCCCAGCACAATTTCTTCCCAAGAATTCGAGTATTTCTTTTGTGAAGAGCCAGCTAGTAAATACTTTCATCTTTTAAGGCCACATTTTTTCTGTAATAACCACTCCACTGTATCATTGTAGGATGTACATGATCGGACCCTACAGAAACAGCAGGTGTAGCTCCTGTGAAACTTCACCCAAAGCAGGCAGGGACTACACTGGGCTTGCCGAGCTGCTGCTTCCCGACACCTGATCCACCTGTGTTCAGTGGTTCCCAAACTTGTCTGCACATTGGAATAACCTGAAAGTGTCAAGAGACACTTATGCCTACATCCTATCCCTAAAGGTTGCAACTTAATTAATCTGAGATATGGTCTGGGCTTTGGGAGTCTAAAAAGGTCCCCAGAAGGTTCCAATGTCCAGGAATGTTTGGGAACCACAGCTCAATGCTATTTCCACAATTACCTTCTTAAATAAAATACATCTGTCCCTGTCACCAATGCTTGAAGACCTTTGCTCCTCTTGACCTGAGAGACCCCCAATATGCCCTCCCTGACTTCCCTGGAAAGCACCATCCCTGGGGTTTCAACAGTGTTCCATTTGCTTACCCACCCACCCACCCACTTAGTCATCCTTTCACTCAGTAAATAGGAGCACCCACTGTGTGGTAGACACTTTTCTATGTGCTGAAGAACAATATTCATAGTTTCTTCACTTCCTGTGCTTACATTCTAGCATCCATACCTCAATTAGTACTAATCACATTGCAATTAGTGTAATTATTATGTAATGCATTAATTATAATTAGCAAGTGATTGGCATCTCCATGAACCCATGATGGCCATCTCTGTCTACCCCTTATCAAGATCCAGTCCACAGAAGGCACTAAAAGAACAAGCGCTAACTGCATGAAGGCATCCACCTCACAGGTTGGTGCCCAGTGTGCTCTAATGTAAGCAGGAGGAAGGCACCAGAAGGCAGCATGCAGAAGGGACAGAAAGTGAGTCAGAGTTCAGAAGACTTTGGGTTTATCTGCAAGGCAGTACAGCCGCAGAAAGTACCGGCTCCAAGACCAGACACAGGGCTCCAATCCTGGCTCTTCCACACATTCTCCATGGGACCTCAAACAACCCATCTGTAGTAGGAATCTGTCTCCTCATCTTTCAAATGCATAAAGCAATAGCACCTACTTACAGATTTGTGCTAAGGACTAAATAAGGTAAAAACATACAAAATGCTTAGTACATGATGCACACTCAGTGCTTGACAAATTTGAGCTGTTAATAGTCATCATGGTTGTCATAAATGTTGAAACTATTGTAATTGAAGCCCTTACCCACAGTTTTAGAATATGGAAATCATTTAACAAATGACAGTGATATCATCTTACTGATACTGCTTCTATCTCAACATTGCAACTGGTCAGTTGTGGACCTTGGACCTAACAGTAACAGTAAAGTAGGAACCAGAGGAGATACATTCACTGAACATAGAATGTTTATCCAACGTGTTTCTTCTGCTAGCATTTGACATATCGCATCATGATAACTTGGCTGCTGGATGTTATCTGAAAGGAATGAAGGGGATCTAAGCATTCCTGCTTAGCCAGCTGTGTCCATCCAAATGAGATTAAGAGCAGGCCAGAACTGCAAGCAAGTTTCACTGAAACGGAAAACCCAGGTAGAGTTAACAGACTAAGAGCTGAATGTTGGCTAATTGAAAAAGGATTGGATCAAGGCTTTCAGGAAACTCATTCTATCCAAATTAAATTATAAACAGGAACCTGCCCTGTTTCAAGATTTTGAAAGCTTGATGTTGAGTAGAGAACGGTATGAATTTCAGCAAAAGACAGGGAACTAGGCAGGCCAATAATGTGTTATGCTGCAGATGTTGGAAGCACCTGTAATAGCAAAGAATAAGCCCCGGGTTTGAATTTTCTGGCATTCATTTGTGAAGCCTCTGGAGCCTGCAGCTACAATGAAAACATATTATGCTTTCACAGTGTATGTATTTAGCTCCTGAAAATAATCTTCTTATCTCCTGCTTAGTGAATTATCACTTTCATTTTCCTCCACAAGAAATTACACAGTAATAGAGGGCTTTAAGAGTTTACAATTTCTTTTTTGTATTCTGATTTTAAAATTGAAAAGTAATCTCCTTACTCCTTGAGCTCAGCCAGTGAAGCTGAAATCCTAATGTCATGGCCCAGTAAGTACAGCGATGTAATTAAATCACTCCACTGCACTAATTCACCGAGAGGACCGCCGCTGAACGCTGTCTCCGCAATCTTGAACCCAGACTCCTTCGTTAGGAGGCCCAGGTGGACCAGGACCTGGGAAAACAAACAAGAGGCAATGCTGATTCCACCGAAACCAAGCACAAACTCCACAGTTAGACACGAAAAAGCAATCAACCGATGTTAACACCACTTTTACGTTCAATGAAATCTCAATGTGGGGTTTGCAGTTTTTCAAAAAAGTAAAAAGGAAGAAATGATTTTTCATTGTTATTTTAGAGAAACAACTATCCTTGGTGCAACTATGAGAATGAGGTACAGACAGATAATCCTTTTAAAAAGAAGAATATAACCGAAACCGGTTTGGCTCAGTGGTAGAGCATCGGTCTGCGGACTGAAAGGTCCCAGGTTCGATTCCGGTTAAGGGCATGTACATTGGTTGCGGGCAGGGGGTGTGCAAGAGGCAGCTGGTCGATGTTTCTCTCTCATTGACGTTTCTAGCTCTCTATGTTTCTCCCTTCCTCTCTGTAAAAAATCAATAAAATATATTTAAAAAAAAAAGAAGAAGAAGAAAAATATGTTTGAAAAGTCAAAAGTAAAGGAGGGTAAGGACAATAAAATATCTTTTAACAGTATGGAATTTTTTCTCACAGCTAGAATATTTTATGCTTTTTGAACATGGAAAATGTCAAATACATACTAAGGCAGACCTGACAATAAAGTTAATTCCCATGTGCTTATCATGTAACTCTAATCATCAACTCATGATAAACCTTATTTAATGTATAGCCTAATTTTCTCCCAACTTCTCTAGCTTAACTTGAAGCAAAGCCCAGACCTCATGTTTTCACCTATAAATGTTTTGATCTGTGGAAAGAAAAACAAACCCTCATTTAAAAAAAACCCAAAAAACAAAACAAAACAAAAAAAAAACCTAACATCACTAACACCCCAGAACAACTATTAATTCTTTAATATTATCCAGTTCCCAGTGGGTGCTTACACCTCCTCAGTGTTAACCTATTTTTTCAAGTGTAGATGTCCTAGTCAGAAGTCAAATAAACGGTAACTGCCTCATCTGTTTCATAGATGCCTTTAACCTGGAGCAGTGCCCCATCAGCCTTCAGGGAGAGAGGGGGTTTGAGGGGCTTGCCATTTATTTGTCAAAAAGACTGGGTTATATTTCCAGTAGTCTCTCTCACACTCTGGGTTTTGCTAACTTGATTTAGTTTTTCTAGCAACACTACTTCATAGGTGGTATGCTACTTCCTTCCAGGGTGGGAACGTCTGCTTTGTGATGTTAGCAACTACAGATGATCATTCATCCATGAGGGGTGGCAGAATGGTGATACTGGCTCATTCCTTCTGCACTTATTAGTGGGAATGCTTCTGTAAGAGAGATTATCCCATATCAGCCAACTACGTGGGTATCCTGAAATACAGCTTATGTTAAAAAAAAAAAAAAAGCCTTCAGTCTTTCCCTTTATTAAGCAGTTTAAAAAAAAAAAAATGTTCTTTAGTGTTCTCTAATAATGACCAAAGAGAACTTTATACACACACACACCATTGTAAAAATATGGCTATAAGTTTATTTGCTGTGTTTTAATAAATTGTAGTTTTTATTCTTACTGATGATCACATTGTCTCATCTTGGCCAACAGGAAGCTATTCAGTTGGCTTCTAAGTTCTTTTACACAGTCCTGGTCTTTGACAGTTTACTTTCTGGTAAGACAGGATGTTCCAAACTCATCACGTACAATCCTGCTGCAGACTTTAATCAGCCAGTTTCCTAAGAACCTCCGACAGCATTCAGTGAGAATGGTATTTAAAGGTCAAAGGCCAGTGCTAAGCACACTCTCAATTATCACTTCCTGTAGGCCTTTTCAGTGGGCACAGCTAGAAAATTTATTTTTCCTTGAGGATAAAACTAATCATGAGTTCATACTGGTTTTTCCAATTCAAACTCAGGATTACAGTGTCTTTACATAAGATTATCCAACTGACATTTGTTACTTCCTTTCCCCTACACTGAAAAACCCACTTCTCAAGGACACTCACATAATTACTTGCCTTATTCCAATACACTCAATTGATTCAGAGTGAGAATATCAACACCACCACCTCCTACATGATTAGAAAAAATTGTGGAAAGACATTTTTGCAGTTTTTTTGTCCTTTGTGATATCCCATGAGAAACGTTCAACTTACCATGTTCAAGTCAACAAGAATAGTCCATCTCTATACATTCATAGTAAAACTGGACAAACAATGAGTTCATTTGTTTTATATTCCTTGTGCTATCAAGAACTGCTATTTATTGGTGATTAAATTTTTATACTTATGTAAAACTAAAGACCCAGTGCATGAAAATTCGTGCACTCAAGGGGTGGGAGAGTCCATTAGCCCAGCCTGTGCCCTCTCACAGTCCAGGAGCCCTCGGGACATGTCCGACTGATATCTTAGGCCCACTCCCTGAGCCACAGTCTGGCCTCTCTCTGTGGAAGGTGACTAGTGGGCTGATGGAGGGACAGCGACAGTCGGCCTCACCCCCTGATCACCCTTCCACCGCCTCTGGTCACCCCCTGATCGCTGTCCCCTCCCTCTGCCCACTGGCACCCACTTTGGCTGGCCTGGTGCCACCTGCTCGCCGGCTCCACCCTACGCAGATCTGTCAATTTGCATATTAGGCTTTTATTATATAGGATGATTCCTGCATAAAACCTACAAAGTGATATACATCCAGAGAAGTCTGGTTTCTACACCTGCTGTCTCTATGCTATTCTTGCCTTCCCCTTATTTGACATTTTTTTTATTGTGGTAAAGTATATATAACATAAAATTTACCATTTTCACCATTTAAAGATATGAGCAAGAAGTGTGTATGTATATTATATAAGTGTTATGTGTGTGTATATATGAATGCATTTATATGTACACATGGAGGATAGACATATGTATATAGATAAATTTTCTCTTCCCTTTTCAAATAATGTTTACTGTTCTCCAGCTAACATTTCTTCACCTAATGATACATTCTGGAGATTACTGTATAGGATTAAATAAAATTATACTTTACTTCCTTTTATAGCCCATCTGGACCTCTGACCACATGCTCTTACAGTCTCATGAACTCAAGGACCCAAGCATAACTGACCCATCAAAGTGTAACTTGGGATTTGGAGGTATATCTGTATTTCTTTTCGAGGCTATCAAATGAGTCAAATTAGGAAAATTGCAAACTCATTCAAATTTATTTTTTGATATAGGAACATGTAGTTTTTTTTTGCTTAGTTTTTCATCATCAGAACAGTTCACTTAAAGCCACAGCCGCATAGTCTCTAACAGAGTATAGGATTTCCCAGGCTCAGGAGTATTCTAGACGTTTTCCAAGCATTTCCTCATAAACTTGAACAAAGTGGCTCAAGTTTAATTTATTTTACCTCTCTCTCAAGCATGTGAGCAGAAGCACCAAACAGAATATTAATGGAACTCACTGTTGCCCATAGCCCAGAACCAATGAAACTCCAAAAATATGAAACTGTCATAATGACGTAATAGGAAGTTCTCAAAGGTTGTGTTCAGTAAAGAAAATAGGGCTAAGTTTCCTGACACAATCGAGAGACAGTCAGATGGAAAATTCAAAGGAAAATCCTTCAGACAGATATTCTGCTTGGATTCACCCAAGAAATATGTGCTGGTCCCTGCTAAGTGGGGTGATGTGTCTTTGGAAAAGGGAAACCCAGACATGGTTGTATGAGCGACTGAGCAGATTCACCTGGAGGAACAGCAGGAAGGCCTGACGTTTCTCAGTTTTGGTTCCAAGCAAATCAATTTTAAAATAAAATGGGCATCTAACAAATGGAATTAATTACAAACTCACTTTCTTCCTCTTTCTCTTTTCAAGATTCTGTTTTTCTGCGAGGGACTTGATCGCTTGGATCCATGCATCAGCCATGCGCCTGATGCGCAGCCTCATCCATCGGAATTCTTCATGCTTCTTCATCATGCTGTAGAGAATATTAAAATCCGTACGAATTTCTGCCTAGAAACAGAAATTTAATAGAAAGGAGTAAAAGATGAAGTCAGAACGCATAATGGTTTGCATGAGGTGACATCTGAAAACTTGAAAGAGGTACTCAATTCAATACAGGGCTCAAAAGGGGGTCTTGGCAGCACAGTTTTTCTTTAAGGTCCCGGGACTGCAAACTGAAGCAAAGACTCCCGACTGCTCAGCTGCCATAAGGGACATCATTTCACAAAGAAACTATGTGAAAGAAGCATAGTCACTGCAAAGCCCTGAGCTATGTTAAAATGCTTTTTTTTTTTTTTTTTAATAATGAGTATGCTTGCTGTACCTTGAAATTCTTTGCACCTGAATTTATTGGCCATTTAAATCTACTACAGGCAACAGAGTCCTGGGAAAATGGAAGTCAGTTCTTAGCAGGCTACCTGGTATTGTGAAAACTGCCAGAGACCTCCTTTGTCCACACAATGAAGAAGGGAAGCACAAGTTTTTTCCCCCAGTACAAACAAAAGCTTATTACTTTCTAAAGAATTTAAGAGCCAGGAAAAACATTTTCCAATTACAACTGAATAAAATTTAAAATTCAGGCCAGAGTCATGTAAAAGCCAGGAAGAACATATTTGTCATACAGCTGGATAGGACCAGTGATTAAAATAACAGAAAAAATAAGAACACTAATATTGGTTTCATGCAACATCTAAAATGCTGAATCCAACTTTCAGCAGTCACCTTAGCTCATTCTAAATGCTCATCTATCTGATCTTGGCCTTCCCTGACTCAACAATTTCTCCAGATTCCAGTGATTAAGCGCTGGGCCTTAGGCCAAATCCCTTTCAGCTGCCTGTTTTTGTAGGAGAACTTCTATTGTAATGCAGCCACACCCTTTCGTTTACATCTTGTCCATGGCTGTCCTCTGCACTACAAAGTCAGAACTGTGTAGCTGTGACAGAGACCTCAGGGCCTACAAAGTTGAGGATATTAACATCTGGCCTTTTACAAAAAAAAGTTTGCAGATTCCCATCTAAACACTAAAGACTTAAGCTTGTAATGTGGCATATAAAACCTTTCATAATTCCCCTAGCTACGTCTCCAATCTCACCTTCAAATATCCAAGCCCCTATGGCCTTGTCCCACTGAACCATGCATATCCTAGTCCCTAAAAATGCTGAACTCTTATACATGCCCTGCTTCTCTCACATCAGACACCTTTATCTCCTTGACCCAGTATAAACTCATTCTTCATTTTATTTTTTTTTCCTTTAAATCTTTATTATTAGTATATGTCCCCTTTTATCTCCCATTGACCCAATCAGCTCCAGGGTCATCTCTGCAATATCTCATGGCTGCAGGCTAAGACCTCAACTTCCTCATTAATTTCACGGGTCTGTGTTCTAGCCTTTATATGTGTGGTCACTTTTACAACCATCACCCTCATAGATTTACAGGGTGCCTCCACAAGATGTTATTCATAGCAGTAGCCTGTCACTTAGGAGCCCTAACAGAATTGCTCAATAAGTAGATGTTAACTAACGAGTTGACTGATTTGGTCACCAAGATTTCACCAGGGCTGGGTGTAGAGGTTTTTCCGTTTACCACTATTTCAGATCACAGCTGCATTTTCTAGAAGACGCCACATGTATCACCTGGCATCAGACCCAAATCACAAGCCCAGCAAAAGGGCTTACTTCCAAAATTACTTACTAATGAATTATGATCAGCTTCCTCGTAGGGATTTTTTGCTCTCCATGGTAAACGAGGACACCAATTTTCAACCTGGAAAATATAAATCAGAGACCCTAAGTTCGCTGGCTCATCTGGAAATGAACTAATGCATACAGAAAGCAATGAGCACAGTTTCTGACACACCGTGAGCACTGTATTTAAGCAAGTTATTATTATTAGTCAGAATCCATGCTTTTAGCCAACAATCCAGAGACAGGTGCCCTCTCAGATGGAACACTAATCAGCTAAGGCCCCAAGGAGTATATGATTACATGTTACATCTGTCCTTCACAGTACTTTACAGGGACTGATTCCTTAATCATTTAACCCCCCATTTCTACACCAGGAGAGGTGGGTCTCATGGCAGAAGGTTAAAAGATTTGAATATTCCCTCCAGGGAATGAGATGCACCTCTCTGACAAGGTAGCAGAGGGACAGGAATGGTTCCTTATCTGCTGCGGCAAGCCTGGAAGGGAAACTGCCTGACATTTGAGCCACAGGACTCAGTCATTTATCTCAGAATTAGGAATGCAGCTGACGGTTTAAGACTAAGTGATCGTGGCTTTCCCTCATTTTCTGGCTGTTCACTTCGCACCATCATAAGGAATAAGATGGTAAAAACTATTGGAGAAAGAAATGAAAGGAAAAAGAACCCTCAGCGATTTTGTGAGAGCCATTCTGGAAGACAGATTGTTCTCAGAGAGTTGCGGGGAGGAAGAAAGCGAAAGGAAGAACGCCAGGTTTTATACGAATCACTTCAGCAAAGGTTACCAGAAAATATTGGGTGAATTCACAATTTCCAGTAAAGAAAAAATGCATTGGGTAATATTGATGTCTGACCTTGTGTCAAAACTGACTATATACCTCTGGCTGGTTGCTCAGTGGTTAGCGCATCTGCCCAAGTACTGAAGGGTCTCAGGTTCAATTCCTGGTCAAGGGCACATACCTGGGTCAAGGGCACATCCATCCCTGGCCCTTGTCAGGTGCAGGAGGCAATCAATTGATGTGTCTTTCTCCCCCTTTTCCCTTCTCTCCTTCCTCCCAACCCTCCTTCCTTTTCACTCCTTCTAAAAAAGCAACGGAAAAATATCCTCAGGTAGGATTAACAACAACGACAACAAAAAACCTAGCCATACAATTCCAAGATAGCATATCACCCATTTACTAATACAAATGAGATTATTAAAGCTAAATAATAAACAGCAATTGTAAACAATTTTTTTTTTTTTTTTTCTGGCCAGGCGGACCTACAGAAATAAAGCAAAAGCAAGAGGCTGGGGATGTCCTTGGAAGGTCACTGAGAAAGCAGGAGTGTGTGTGAGACCACAGCCTCCTGGGTACCAGTAATAAAGCGTCAAACGAGATGGTCTATCTTCCAGCTGTGGGTGATTCTCAAAGAACCAGTAGTTTCAATGACCTAGAAACTGTGCTTAAAGCAAGGCAGTTTTTACTAAGACCAAAATAACCGGGTGGTTAGCATGCAACTGGCTGCCTGCAAATGATCTGCAAGTGATAAGCAGAGGGTGCAAAGCTTGGGGGAGAGTGGAATCCCTGGATAGGAAAAGTGCAATATTCTCTTTTTCTTCTTGCAGAGTAAAATTAAACTTCACTGCACTTATGAATGTCTCCAGAGGCTCCGAAGGCCTCCCCATGAGGAAAGCTAAAATGGTTTTTCTCATGAAAAAAGGAAAACACAAACTTGCTTTGGATGCCCATATCTAATTACTGAGCCCTTACAGCAACATTACCATGAACAGCAATATCAGGAGCTCCATAAATGAGAAAAGTGAGAGAAAACCAGCAGAAAAGATGCGAGCAATAGGATGAAGCCTGTTAGTCTGGTAGCACCGCACACCTCTGACCTTGCATTGCTAGACCTTCAGGATTACTTAGTTCAAGTTAAATTTTTGTAAATGGACTCAATGAAACATTGCTATAAAGCATGTTTATAACATGAAGGCGTTGAATGGATCTCAGAGCATTCCTTCAACCCCACACTGAAGGATGAGGATGTGCAAGCAAGGGCACACATCACAGCCAACCTCACCCTGAGGGACTAACATACACAGCAACATGTCAGTATAAAAAGATGAAACACAACTGTGAGTCAAGAAAATCAACCAAAAGGAGAGACATTTGTGAGATCAGATACCGAAAAGGGAAAGTACATTCTCTCCTCACTCTTCCACCCTAGGAAGGAGCTTCCAAAACTCGCTCTGATGTAAATACAGTCCAAGGTGATCTACTAAAATATGACTTCCCTACAGAATACTTGAGGCTTTAATTCCTCTTTGAAGCTGGTCATTTATCTCAGTTCTTGTGGCTCTAAATGACTGGAGAATGTTCTGAACGGCTTCAAGGACACCCTGGAAGCACGGGAGGTGGAGTCAGTCTGTTTCTGCTTTTAGCAAGAAATCTCACTGTCACGTGTTCACCATCCTGGGGAAAGCCCTGTTTGAACACCTTGACCCTGAATGAGGAAGGCGAGTTTTGAGGTGGTTGTTTTAGCACAGTGATAGGGTAACTGGTTGAGAAGATAATTAAATCAAACATTAACCAATTTTTCCATGGGGGCGGGAGGGGTGGGGTGGGAGGATCATTTCTTTCTGAAACCTAAGAGGATGGCGAGGACCAGGAGAAAGCCAGCACTGGCATTAACTCCAAGCATGAACCAGCCCTCCCATGAGCAACCCTCTCTTAAAGAACAGTCATTCATAACCCTCCGGGAACGTCTGGCTCAAGGGTAGTAACTCAGCCTCCTAATCCCTGGCACCTGTCTAATATACTTGGGCAGCTTTCACAAGGTTTTCTCCCAGCATAGCATCTTACCAGGAAAGCTGGACTCCAGAATGAGCCCACTGCCTTCCTGCTCTGGACAATCTTCTATTTCAAATCATTCTTATCCTTTCTCTTGGGTCTCAGAATCCCACTGTCCTAGGTCAGCCTATGGTTTCTGCCTCCTTCCACCCACTGCTTTGGCCACACTGCCCTAACTGTGACTCCCGGTGCTCCCCCAGGACAGGATTCTGTGTTTGGCCTCAGTGCAGGCACACAGAACTGTGGTGCTGGGCCCTTCCACTGGCCACCCCACCTCTGCCTGATTCCTGGGTCTAGCAGTCTTGACCCCTCGCCAGGGTCAGAACTGTATATCCTTAAAATAGTCTGTCTACAAATCACCACAGTAAGCCCAAGACTTGAAAACCATCCGAGTTGGCAACACACACAAGAATCAATAGAGGAGCAGAACTCTAATAACCTTGGATTTGAAGACAAAGCTCCTTCCAGGGAAACTGACCTTTTTAGTGCATGGCCTCAGGCAACAAAATGAAGAGGCAGCAGAAACAGAAAAAGAACAGCCAGGCTAGACCTTAAGAATAGGAAGATGGCCCAGTAAATTGCTTTCTTGAGAAAGGAGATAAAAAATTTAACCAATTTGATTTTGACACTCCTCCTCCCAATGATTTAAACTTCTTTGGTCTGAGAAGGTTTTGTAGCTTAATCATGAGCAACATGAACCAAAATCCCTCAACAGAGCTCAGGTAGGTCACACGGTCAAGGTCTGTACGATGGACAATTCATTACACTACAGAGGGGAAAAGGCTGGTAGATCTGTTCACAGCTCAAATTGGAATGTAAAGGGGGAAAGGTGCAGTGAAATTACATCAAGAAGTTGAGGAGATTTAACGTATTATTATAATATATTCAAGTACTTAGGTGTAACTGGCATAATTTTATGTAAAGTTCAGTTAAATAATAATGATCAGCCTTTGTTATGGCTTCTTGACTCATGATTAATGTTAAGTGGTTTGCTTTAATGGATCAGTGACATAGGTTTCATGCTATATTTTTAAAAAATATTTTTATTGATTTTAGAGAGGAAGGAAGAAGGATAGATAGAAACATCAATGATGAGAATCATTGATCAGATGCATCCTGCAAGCCCCTCACTGGGGATGGAGCCTTCAGTTTAGGCACGTGCCCCTGGCCAGAATCGAACCCGGGACTCTCCAGTCCGCAGGCCGACACTTCATCCACTGAGCCAAACTGGCCAGGGCTGTATTTTTCAGAGTCAAGTGCAATCAAAACTAAATGAGAAAAATGCATGAGAAAAAAATCTGAGATTATCTCTGGATGATGATGTTAAGGGTGCTTTTCATTTCCTTCTTTGTGCTAATCTGCATATTATGCTTTTTACAATAAAGATTTATTAGCAGAATAATTTCTAAAGGAGTTCTATTTTATAAGCATACAATCATTTACTGAGGTTCACAGTATGTCAGGGTCTCTGGAATCCTATAATAATAAAAGGCTAATATGCAAATTGACCAAATGGTGGAACCACAGGTGCATTGACCGCCAGAGCAGATGCTCAATGAGGAGCTGCCCTGGTGGTGAGTGTGCTACCACAGGGGTCGCACCAATTAGCCAGAAGTTGGGCTCACACCTGCCGAGTACAGCGGCAGTGGTAGGAGCCTTAGGATGCTCCCACCACTGTTGCTCCCACCACTTCCGTGGCAGCACTTAGGATGTCCAACTGATGGCTCCTGGACTGCGAGAGAGTGCAGGCCGGGCTAAGAGACACCCTGGCCCTGCCCGGCGAGTGCACAAATTTCATGCACAGGACCTCAGTAAACAAATAAACTTGTACCCATTCCATCGTTCAATCCCTGAGGCGCCCTGTGACACAGGGACCATCGCCAGGCTACCTGTGAGGAAACCACAGCTCACAGGCTGGACACTCGCGAGGTAAGCTCGCTAGTGAGCAGCAGGGCTGGGTGACAACTGGCATGTGTCTCTCTCCTGATCAGCACAGGTTAGAGCCACCTTAAAGGCCATGCTTGGTGAAGGAGAATAGAGTGGGAAAGAGGACTGAGTATAGAATCAGACAAACAGATTATATGCCCAGCTTTACAAACAACTAGGAATAGAACCTTTAACCATATGGCTTTCAAGTCTTCTCATCAATAAAATGAAGAAGTTGTATGAGGTGACCTCTTGACAATTCTAAAATGCTACAAGATCTGAAAAAGGTAATTTTACATCATCTTGTC